AAAAAAAAAAAAGGTAACATCTAACAAGGTGCTGATATCCAAGATCCATACAAAAAGAAAACAAATAATCCAGATAAAAAATGTGCAGAAGAACTAAATAGACCCTTCTCCAGAAAAGATATATAGACATACAACAAAAACAATGAAAATAATGTTCATTGTCATTTACCATCAGGGAAATGCAAATCAAAACTACTGTGAGACCATGCTGCTCCTGAGAGAACAGGTCCTATCAAAAAGACCAGTGTTGGGGAGAATGTAGAGACAAGGGGAAACTTCAAATGGGTCTATAGATTGGCCAAGTCCTGATGGAAGTTTCTCAAAATATTAAAGCAGATCTACCATATGACCCAACAATTCTACTCCTAGGTAGACTCTACCCAAAGGATGCAAAAACACTGATTTGAAGGGATTTGATGTGAAGGCCTTCTTATGTTCATTGTAGCACAACTCACAATGGCCAAAGTACCCAAGACAGGTGAGTGGATTAGGGAGGAGTGAATCTTCTAGTCCACTAGTGGAACACTACTCAGCTATTAAAATGCTAACTCTTGCCATTTGCAACAATAGGGACCTAACAGGTGGTGATTACACTAAGTAAAATAAGTATAAGGAGAAAGACAAATACTGAAAGCTGCGCACCAATATTCCTTAATAGAAAAAAGAAGGCGCACTCAGCACACCTCTGGACACAGAGATTTGGGCACTCTGCTCTGCTTGCCTTCGGCCTCCCTTTTTTCCCATTTCCCTCCCTTCTCATATCACCACGTCAGGTTTCCTGAGGCAAGCACCGCACCAAGGCATCATCCCTACCTGCGGAGAGGTGGGAAGAGGTCTCCACGAAGCCCTGAAATAGCATTTCAGCTCCCCTGTGCTCCTATTAACCCTTTCAACTCTGTATTCCCCATCATGAAATACAAGAGTGGAAGTGAAAATTTCAAGGCCAGGACGTTAGGTAATCTGTCAGTATTTGGAGAAGAGATCAAAAGTTTGGTGAAGAAGAGGGTAAGATTCATTTTAGACCAGCTGGGTTTTGAAACTGATGACACCTTATATTCTATATTCTAATATAACTAGAGTTCTGCAGACAGTGAAGCACACATCAGAAGCAAAGAAAGTCAGAAGCAACCTGACAAAGATGAAAAGGACAGAGATATTGTTTGTAGGACATAAAAGAGAGCGTCATAAAAGCCCCTGCTTTCTGGGCCCTCCCTGTTGACACATGGGTTAAAGCACAGCACTATGAAGCTGGCCACAACCACTATGCAAGAGCTCAATCCCCGGCCAGGGAGGTGACCCACATGGCGCAGCAGACCTCTCCTGACCCACCCGCTGCTCCCCTCAGCAGTGTACTTCACCAGTCAGCCTGTTCTACTCTCCACTCTGTTGAATCCTCTCACACTCCAACACCCTGTCCTGTACCCCAGTTCTTATATGCATAAATAAGTAAATCTTAAAAATATATATATATCTGCTTTCACCTCTGTTCACTCAGTCTTTTGTAGGATCTTCCACATGCAAGTACATACTGGTTTTTTGGGGGGTGGGGGACTTGAAGATGATTTCTGGTCAGGGAGTTTCCCAAACTGGGGTTAGTACCCAACTGCGATGTTGATCTAACAGTGAACTCATCACCCGACAGTGCCTTGGAAGAGGCAGGATCAAGCCAATTAACTATTCCACAATATATTTGAGATCAGGTTTTCTGAAAGGAGAGTGCTGAATGGTGACTCACAGTGTTCTCCACTCTGACACTGCCAGCCTCAGCTGCTCTTGTCCAAGACTCAGTGCTCTGAGCAGCCTCCTTCTCGGTCATTCCATGCACAAGAGCTTGGCCATCCCATTCATTCCCTTTCTCCCTTTTGAAACCCCAAAGCCTCTCAGCTCTACAGCATTTATCAAATGCCACCCCTGATCACTCTCTGTCACCACCAACAACTTGAACTTTCTGTACCTTGGCATAAAAGACCAAGAACTCTCAGTTACTAAAAAGAACCTTAGAACCTACCAATACAATCCCTCTTATATTATAGACTGGAAATCTGAGGCCGAAATGCTAACTAATAAGCAAGCGATAAATAGATGCTGTTCGAGTTACAGTTTCACAAGAGAGGGTTGAAGAATTTCGTTTCTCATCTTTTTCCTTAGGACAAGAGATCTAATGACAAATGTTTATGTTTACATTAGCATATAAAGTACATGGCAAGGTTATTACAATAAGATGTTGGCAAAGTATATGGAAAACTCTAGATTTCCTTCTGCAGGGCTTCTTGGAGGCTTTATGATGCTAACAATACTTTGAATTTGCAAAGGCAGAGTTTGAAGCAGACAAAACGGATGGGGGCTATTGTCTCCCTTGTCAACAGAAGGCTTACCCATGTCACCGTGAATTATGCTGAGTGGGACAGACTGCAGGAACACTATTGTAGTGCTAGCTTGCCAGTGAGCAGTTACAGTTAAGTAAATGCAGAAGAAATTCTTTCACATAATACTAAATGTAATAAACATTTGTTTACTTACAGTTCTACATTCTACCATTACATGAAGACTGGTACAAACATTCATGTTAAATACAACTGTTCCATATATAGTAAGTACATAGCCTGGAGCCTCCCTCGTGGCACAAGGGGTTAAGTCACAGAACTATGAAGCTATCCACAGCCACTGCAGCGTGAGTTCCATCCCTGGCCAGGGAGCTGACCCATATGGCATGGCAGATCTCTCCTGTCTCTCCACTGCTCCCCTCAGCAGTAGATTTCAGTAGGTCTGCGTGTTATGCTCCCCACTCTCTCTGGTGAATCCTATATCCTAGTTCTTGTATGCATAAATATTTTTTTAAGTAATTAAATATCCTAATATACAAAGAATTAAACAAGCGTTCCTATGCCTCTTTTAGTATATACAACATGTTTATTATTAATTTGTACTTTACTTCCTTCCAACAATTCATAAATATTCTTAATGTGTATTCACACACCATTGTTAGCAAAATCCAGCAAGGGTGACTAATATAAATCAAACCTTAAACTATGTAAATATTTATGCACTCTCTATATATATATGCATTATATATAGCAAACAAGTTTGTTCGAGTTTGAAAGATTTTTTTGTAGCAGAATATGGCAAAGTAGTGAAAAGGGATGGATTTACCATAAGTAGAATAGGTATTTTATGAGCATGGTATTTTGTTAAGGATTAAAAGACCTAAGCCATGGTTAAAAGTTCATGGATTTCAATTCTAGAAACTTCTTGGAGATAATGATAAGATTGGCATCAACTTTAGGAGCATGGCATTGTATTGATAAAAGATAAAAATATTCAAGCCAATGTTAAAAGTTTATGTATTTAAAATGCTAGGAACTTCTTGGAGATGATGATAAGACCCATTTAGTGTTTTCAGAAAGACTTGTACTATGCTCTTATTTATTGACATTGTGCGATCATTTACATAAGCTGCTAGACAATGAATTTTTAGACAGTGTTGCCAACATATTCCTCTTGTCTAAGTACAGACATAAGATTCTGAGGAATAAAAATTAAAAAACACTTAAAATCATTTAACTTAAGAACAACCTTTCCCAGAGGTTTCTTGAAGCCATTTGGGGACTTCATTGGCACATGCCCTGTGTATGGTAAAAAGAGGGAACAAAAAATTGAGAGTTTATTAACCCTTTAGAGAAGTGCTGTCACGCTGCATCATGGAACCGCCTTGTACCTCAGTTGTCTGATATGGTAGCCAGCAACCACGCTGTGCACTTAAAATAGGACTATAAGACTGAAGAACCAAATTTTAAATTTTATTTAACTAATTTACATTTACCTTTCGTTCACAGCCTGCCAGTTGTTGACTAAAAAATCTTTTGCAATGTACCGGCCAACTTCTGATGTCGCCACGGCTTCAATTACATTCGTCTCATTAAAAGTCTGTGGGGACGTGGTGATGGCATATTCCAGATATCTGCAGAAGTGCATTTGCAGAACATCAATACGTAAAAGGAGTTAATCTAAATAAATGAAATTAAAATCCCCCAGGGTTTTAGGTTAGCGATGTGCTAGTGTATGTGTCGATTAGCCAGTGTCTTTTTGTCTCTCTGGGCTAGTGCTTTTCTTTACCAGGAGATTTGGGGGTAAATTGCCAATAATCACCTGTTAAGAATCCAGGGGTCTTTACTGCAGCTCATTGCATAAGCAAGTTGAATCCTCTCTTCTTCCTTTGTCTTATTATTATAGACGTTTAACACAAAGTCCCATTCTTTATCACTTCCCAGGGCAATGCCGTAACATAAAATCACATTTTTTATCGGGTAAGGTATTCTGTAAGGTATAACATGTAATGATATTTCTCACAGTGGTTGAGTTATACACATTCATCTAGGTTGCCATATAATTCAAAGTCTAAATCTAGAAAATAAGAACCTTGAGATCTCAGATATAAAAGGTCAAAAGTAGGAATCCAGGCAAGCACCCTCGGAACCTTCCGTGAGCATTAATATCATGAGAAGAGATCGTTAAATATGTTTAGCAATGAAGGAGCTTTAAAGGAGAAGCAAATTAGAATAGTCCAAACAGTGTATGTTGATAACTCAGTTTGGTCTCAAATCTTATCAGCACATTTCCTAAGAGTCCATCTGAGGTAATATATTAAAGATGAATATAATAAAGCAAAATTACAGGGTCTTATTCTCAGCTTTCCATGGGAATGCAATCTCATAGAGAAAGATGCTTTGAAGCAGTTATGAACAGAACAATAATGATCGTAAGAACAACCTAAGTGAGATTCAAAGTAAGCATAAAGGCTTATTAGGGAATCAGCAACAAAGGTCTTGTGGGACAATTCACAGTATAAACCCTGTCCTTTTATTCTTCACAAACCTACAATTAGACAGTCATGTTAAAGAAAGATACTTGAAAGACACTGTGGAAAGGACAGGTTAACCAAGTGGAAACAAAACAGTTACTCCCAGAGTGCGCATGTCAAGGAAGGTAAAAAAAAACTTGTCAGTGCTTAAGTTAGGCAAAAACCACAGCGGTTACAACATCGGGCTTACTCATTCTCTGGATGGTTCACCCATTTTCTGAAGAGGTCTCTTGAAAGTTGAAGACAGTCTTCAAGGCCCAACCAACATGCATTTCCAAAAAGTTTTTCCAGTGATATTCTTGACGGGAAAGTCAAAGAAAAACACTTAGTTTTGTGTTACTGCATTTAATTATTTTTGCTTTCAAGTATGGGTATTTCTGTTGACTTTCAAAGGCCTGTATCTGAAATGTCTATAATGTTACAGTGCATGGCTATTATGTTATCGGAATAATATTTTTTAATTAGAAAAGAATGTGTAGTTCATAAAAGAGTGAGTATTTAAAAGATTCATTCAATAACATCAGCTTTATTTAAAAAAAAATTGGCTTTTGTAGATGACAAACGTATTGAAGATGCAGAGAAATATTTGCTGAGAGTCTCATAGGCACCAAGTAAGCTCTTAGGACTAGTATTTTTTTGAAAGTTAGAAATAAATTACTGCCAACTTTCATCTTCCTAAAACGCACATGGGAGTATACATATTCTGCATCTGTTACCAGTTTGTTTTTCTTCCCTTTTACAATAATTGTCTTATGAATTAAAAAAAAAAAAAGGCGTTCGAGTATCTGATCTAATACACTTTGAAAAGTTCTTTCCCTATACATAAAAACAAGAGGGAATGGTTTATTTCTCCCCTAGAGCTTTGCTTCAGCTTCTGTTTCTTCCTCTATTCCTCCTGGCTAACACAAACATGTCCAGGAAAAAAAAATTGGAACTTTTGTTTTTCTAGCTGAGCAAGGTACACATTATGGTTCAAAACAAACTATATTCAAAAGAACACAACAGAAAACAATAGTAAATCCAGATAAATGGCCCCTGAGATGCAGATGCGTGCAGTCTTGGAGTAGAGGAATTCAAACTGGCATAAGCTTTCTAGAAAAAGTAAGAACCAAATTTCCATTGTTCCACCCTCCAGCTTCAACTGAACCTGACATAATCTTCTGATAAGCAGAATTGGATTGTCCAAGGGCGGAGGCCCCATGAGAGAGAGTTCTGGGCATTCAACTGTGCTCACTCCCTCTTCCTATCCATTGCAAGCTGGCTGCAGTGAGAGGGTGTTCTCTGGCAGCAAAGCCTAACTCTCCCTGGTGAAGAACTAGTTCAGGAGTGCTACAAAAAGCAGTTTGAGTTCCTCTACTCCAAGACTTCACGCATCTGCATCTCAAGGGGCCATTTATCAGGCCTCCCTGGTGGCCTCAGGGTTAAGGGTCAGTGCTGTCACCACCATGACCTGAGTTTGACCCCCAGCCAGGGAGGCGACCCACAGGGCACAGCAGGCTTCTCCTGTCTTGCCCACTGCTCCCCTCTCAGCAGTATATTTCAGTCAGTCTACCTGTTCTGCTCCCCATCTGTCTTTGGTGAACCCCACACCTCTGGTGTACACCCCAGTTCTTCTACACAAATAAACAAGCTATTCTGATCCTTAAAAAAAAAAAAAATAGGTCTCCTCTGCGTCAGAGAGCTGGGCTGTGGCTGTTCAGCTAGACACTGCCAGGCTGAGTACACTTTTGCCTGCCTACTCATTCACACACCTTCCTTACCCACTTACCATCCCTGTTAAGTGCTCACTCACTTTTGTCGATTTGTCCTTTCAACTCTTTGCCCTCCAGTCAACACCCTGGTGCTAAAATCTCTCCCCTCAAGAGACTCCTGAGAGGAAATCATCACCTTTTGCACTTCTTACTTGGTCTAATCGATTTCAGCTTATATTGACGGAAGCTATAAATAGAAACCCTGTACTATTTTTGTTTACAAATTCTCTCCCTAAATTTAGGCACCCAGCCACACACACCCAAGCACTAGGTTGTAAGGAAGCCAGTGCACCATCACGCTAGATTGCCTTTCACCCTCTTCCCAGATCATCATGGCGATGTGTTTACGCTACTCACCAAACCAACACTGTGAAAACCATTTGTAATATTTTCTCTGCTCACACACAGTGACTGATCTATTTCACTGTCCACCTGACTCATTATATTGCTGGTAGAACTTCTGTTACCAATCATATACAGAGGGAACTTTTCCCCCATTTGGCTTTCCCATGTTATTGACTTCATTGGTATCGGATGACTTGCCTTAGCTTTACCCACCTGCCAATGGTAAGATGCTTAAAATTTCAATCACTTGCCAAAAATTTGAAAATACAGAGTTAGGAATTCCCGTGTGATTTTCAGGGAAATTATGAGTTCAGGTTATTATTTACTAGTAGGATACATGGAGCTCACCAACCACTAAGCTAATGTTCTCCAACAGCATACAAAATCTCTCTGAAATGGGTCTTAAGGTCTTCATTATGCAGTGGGAACCGATCTATGCATATGAATCATTTTATTCAACTGCCCAAAAAATACTTACAGAGCTAAATAGTCATCTTGCAGGGCTGCCACATTTGCACGAATTATAGTTGCATAAGTGTTCCATATTGGGATCAGTTTCTTTACTAAATACTTCTATAAACAGTAACAAAGTACACTATTAGTTCTGGTTCACAACAATGAATTTGCACAGCATTTCTCCTTATCTAAAAAGACATTAATAGAGAAGTGATGGATATTTCTTCAGCCATGAAAAATAAAATGTTGCTAAATGTTTAACTGGATCATTTTTTTTAACTGGATCATTTTTTAACCTTCCTAGTGAAGTTTTCCATTGCTTACATATGTAAGCAATATGTAGTCAATACTATGGACACAAGCTTACTGCTTGGCACATAGTTAAGAACTCAGTAAATATTACTATTATTAGTAGTTAGTGTCAACACTAACTTCCAGCTGTCTTCAGGATACAGGAAAAAATGTGAAAAGGTGAAACTATTACACTCTCTTCCTTAAAACTTCCATGCTTATGGTACAGGATTACTGGGGCTTTGGCGGCGGGCATGGTGTGAAAACACACATTTGTGGAGGTTTGAACCCATAACTCCTAAAACAAATACAATGATATAAACTAGCTTTATCTCAATGAACTTAATTGGGGGGTGGAGGGGGGGTGGAGAGAGAGAGAGAGAGAAATCCAGGTTTAACATACATACTTCTAAGATCCCAAGAATGTAAGTCTTGGACAGATTGAAGTCCTCAGTCTGAAATAGCTTTGTTGTTGTTCAGCTAGCAGTTGGTAAATGAGATTATAAAATATAAACACTTACCAAGACATCCCTAAGAATAAACCAGACTCTATTCTTCAAAGTACTTTAAAAACACATACTTGTTTTTAGTTCTTTATCCAGGAGCAGTAACCTCAGTCTCACAGACATTTCAATGCCCGCTTCAAATACCCACCACCCCCTCATCCAAGTTCCTTCAGGACTCTAGACTCTAAATAAAAGAAAGTTGGGATCCCTGAGTTATCTGTGATGTCCCCCTGAAATTGCCCCCCAAAATTCACCTAGCACATTTGCTTGTTTGTTTGTGGCCTTACGCCTTTGAAGGTATATGGTCCCCAACTCTTACTCTGGGGATTACCTCTGCCATAGTCCTTAGGATCTGAGGTTACTGCTCCTGGATAAAGTTCAAGATCTCCCAATGGAATCTCCCCCCATATACTGTTTTATGTGTTATTTTCCCCGTGTACAATGACCTGATGGGATACCATGTCTTCATTCACTAATTGCAATTTCTCTCTTTTCTCAACATCAAAAGTAGCCACATTTACTTTTTTTCTGTTTTGTGCCTCTCTGGATTTAAGTGCTGCTTGCCTTATAAATCAGAGTCTTTCAATTATGAATATGGGGTTGTTAAAGTCCATTCTGATTGCCAAGCAAAAAAAAAAAAAAAAAGAGGAATATAATTTCTAACCATTCCTGGTTTCTTAAGACTACTGTCAATTCATCAAGAATGAAATACCTTTAATTAAACATTTCTGGTACTCCTTTCCTAGACCAGAACTACAGCTAAGGCATTTTCCTTTAAGAATGATCTGCCCATTCCTAAGAAAATGAATACTCATGCAGGGCTAACAGATGATTACTTTGAGAAAGACTGATTTCAAAAGATTGATTTAAAAGATGCTGAGTGGAACATGAAAAGAGAAAGGGAAGATTTTTCTTAAAACCACATAACAAAGAATGGAATTACCTTTAATAACGGGTATATATCATAGTTGTTCACGTCAGACACAAGTTCCCTGGGGTTAAGGCTCACCAGGACTGCATGCCATACTATAATTTCATCTTCTTCAGCAAGATACTTGGTTAAATCAAGAGCTATTTCAATATCAATATAATTGTTTCTGTTTGGTTTAAAAAAAACACACACTCAAATAAACCTTCACTCCCTAAATGATTTGCACACATTCTATATATGTTCCATGCTTCAATGCCTGACTTACTAGGGCATGTGAAATCTAAAAAGTAGAAGGTAAAGGTCCCATCGCACTAATAAATTGAACCCACACACTCTGGACAGACTCTCTCTTTTAGTTTGCCACATTCAAGTGCTCAAATTCTTGGGAGCTCTAGAAAATCCTGGCCAAACGTTGGCAGATTATCAGTCAACAGAACATTCGTGTATCTTATGAAAGTATATGTCTTATGACAGTGTAACTTCCATTCAACAAATATTTATAAAAAGTCATTCTCTCTTAAATGGTCTGCTAGCTACTGGTGAGTGCACAAACTAATATATATGACACTACACTTGTGTGCCATTGAAATGTTTATTGTTCAGTGAGGAGCTAGGACATATACGTAGGAAGCTGTTTATGAAAGGTTCTAGAAAAGGCAATGAATATAATAAACATATGCATGTGTTGGAAAAGTCCTAGAAGACTTCCTGGAGGAGAAGCTTCAGAAAGGCAATGAAGAATGGTTAAAGTTGAATTGGGTAAAGAGAAAGAGGAAAGAAGGTTAGGATGAAAAAAAAAAAGTCAAAAAGAGATGCAGATTTAGAAGTCATCAAAATATCCTTCCACAAACATCATCAGCATTAATATATGCAAAATCTACAGACTTTGATATAACAGATTGTCAAATTTTGACCTGAGAAGGAACAGATTCCTTCCTCTCAAATTACTGTTAAAAAAAACATAAAAACACTTTTATGGCTTTCTTCTCTAGAAGCAGGGAACATCACTGTTCTTTCCTAACAGACTTTTAAAAAATTAGCCTTTTCAGTGACTTATTTTTGTAATAGCATACACATAACATGAAATCGACCAGCTTAGCCATTTTTAAGTCTACAGCTTAGGGGAGTCAAATGCATGCCTAATGCTGTGTGAGCCTGCTAAACATCTATTTCTACAGCTCTTCCTCTTACAAAACTGAAACATTGTATCCACCAAATAGTCGCCCCCAGCCCTCCTTCTTCAACCCCCTCCTAGGTTGTGGCCACTAACACCTACTCTCTATCTTTATGATTTGAACGATGCTATGTACCTCATATGAGAACATCTTTTAGTGAAAAAAAAAAATCTTCAAAATAACATTTAAAAATCATGGATGCTTAGAAAGCACTTTTATATGCATTATGTCATGTACACAGAAATGAACATTACTAAGGATAGTCCCTTCACTTATTTATTGCACATGGGAGTTTTATGACTGTCTTTTTTTCACTTGGCATAGAATCCTCAAGCTCCCTTCATGTTCTTGCATATGCTGGCAATTTTTATGTTATAAAATTCCACTGCAATCAGAAAATTTTATCCTAATCTGAATGAGTTAGGAGGTGTAGCTTCCAGAGAATCAATTTCATAGTGCTGAGGTTATAAGTTCTCTACATTTCTCAAGGTATATTCTAAAATCATGAGAGAAGAAAATATACTCACTTAGACAAGGAAAAGGCATCATCAATCAACTGAAGTCTATGAATAACAGGAATAGCCTGCAAATTAGATCCAAATATGCACAGGAAAAATGAGAACATCTTGTAGTGAAAAAAAAAATCTTCAAAATAACATTTAAAGCTCATGGATGCTTAGAAAGCACTTTTATAAGAATTATCTCATGTACACTGAAATGATCATTACTAAGGATAGCCCCTTCACTTATTTATTGTACATCTGTTTTTGATAAATGATCCTTTTGGGCATTAATCATAAGGTTTAAATATGAAATAGAGTTATGCCAAAATACTCCCTGAAAAACAGCTTGTTAAAAAATAAAACAGGAAGCCAAGTTTAAAAGATCTCTCCAAAACACAGCATACATTCAATCAAATTACGAAGTTCAAATCAAGGAAATTTTTGGCATATGATGCCTTCAGTAAATATTATTTAGCACTATTTTGGTAATATTGAGGAATTCTTTCAAGTGGCATCTGTCTTCTCCCGCTTGCACTAATTTGACACAATTCTGTTAACAAAGCACTGATTTCCATGGCTAAATCGTCTCTGTAGGGTCTGTTTGAACTCCTTGTATCTCCAGGGCTCTGACTGGGCTTCAGTGTGCTGCGGGTCCCATAGCCAATGGCTTCCTCAGCACACCCTGGCTCGGCACGGTCAAGCTTTTGGACCTATAGGAGTTACTTACCTTCACAACATACCCTCAGGCATTTGAGCAGCACAAGCTTAATTCTTTCCTTAGTATAGTGTTAGCTATATTATATAGACTTAAGTATAGTCTTGGTTTAGTTTTTCTGTTAGTGATAATACTCTTTTTAATTTATTGACGCATGCGAGAAACAGGGTATAGGCCAGAGATGTGGGGGGTGAGAGAATTCACCAGAGACAGAGTGGGGAGCAGAGCAGGCAGATGAACTGAAATACACTGCTGAGGGGAGCAGCTGGAAGACAGGAGAGGTCCGCCACGCCATGTGGGTCACCTCCCAGTTGGGGAGTCAAACTTGCAGTGCAGTGGCTTCGGATTACCTCATAGTGCTGTGCTTTACCCCGCTGTACCACCAGGGAAGGCCCCTAGTGATAATGCTTATTTTCTAGATTAATAATAACAGTAAAAATAGAGTTGTACTTGCTTTAGGAATAATCAGTCTCCATATCTCATTAGACCACACAATGGTCTTAAGAAATCATAGCCCCACGGTGTGGCATACAGCTCCCATAGCTAGTAATAAGGAATTGATCTGAGATGAATTAGTAAGAATTTTGTACTTTAAAACAAAATATTATTATAAGCGAATTTTATAACTCTGTTCAAAAGCTCAAAGGGAATTTTACCAAATATTGAAGTTGTTCTGGAAATCTGAAGTGAGTCAGGTTTCTATTAAACATAACACACGCTTCATCACATTTAATCTTCATGACAACTCTTTAAGGTTGGTCTACTAAACTCATTATTATATAGGTTAGGAAATGAAGGCACGACTAGCCAAATAAAAGACCCAACGTCAAGCATCTAGTAAATAAGGAATGAAAGTAGGAACTCATGTCTATCCGATGGAGACCCAATGAGAGAACTTTGCAGGAGACACACCAAGCCACCTTTCAGGTCCGCATTCTCGTTGTATGGTTGAGTCTCACTGCAAGGCCCAAGGTTTCACAACAGCACTGAGTCAGCGAGGCCCAAGGTCAAATCCGTCTCCATGGATGCAGGTTTGGTAAAATTCAAAATCTGAATCATCAGAGTAGTCCATGCTTTAACGGTTATATACCATGCAATCATTTGTACTCCTTTTACAATTGTGAGTGGTATGGCATTATTAATGATACTTGAAGAATTAAATTCTCCCCTCTGAGGGAGAATATCAATTCTGAAAATTGAGCATTTCTAGCATATACTGAGCACCTGTTTGGGGCTTAGAAATATTAGTTTACTTTTATCTACATCATCTCTAACTGTTCTAGTGAATAAGAAAGATGGGATGCAATTCCCATTTTAAAGTGAAGAAGTGGAAGCAGAACCTTTAGTAATTTGCCAAAGATCACAGAATGAATGAGTAACAGGGCAAGTATTCTAATGTTAATGTTGAAAGGTAAAGTTGTTGAGGAAAAGTGAGATTAATATTCAGAAGCATGACACATTCCACTCCAGCCCTCTTTTTTTCCTAAGAGTAAGTTAAAAGCTCCAGCATGACTAGGGGTGAGAGCTTATAAAAGTAATGTCTATAAAGCGCTAGACAGTAGAATAGCAATGACATTTAGTAAAAGGTCCCAAAAGAAGGAAAAAAAACTCAAATCCTTACCTTAGGGTCTTTTTCGAGTTGTTGAATTAATCTCTTCCAACCTAAGTTATCATAATTAACTCTATAATATCCAGTCATATTCAAATTTAAAATCACCCAGTCATGATCTGCATCTGAAACTTGCATTTCAGGAAACACTTCTACACAGGAAAATATCAAAAATAAAAAACAGCTTATAAATTGTTTGATGACTGTTTATACTATAGCCTCTTAATTCTAAATAATAAACCCCTCAAAGCACAAAAAGTAAAGGAAATCTAAAATATGTATCAAATTTACCACTAATTTTGTTCTTTCCATACATAGCAATTTTAACTAGAAACTATTTTTACTAGAGTTCTTCGTTTAAACAGAATGGTATAATTTAATTTTGAATAGAAAGCTTTTCATAAGCTAGATATTTCAATTTTTATTCTGTCTTTATACATATATATCATATATTCATCTGTACAATTAAAGACATCTTTAAAAGTTATTACTTACTGCTGCTTTTATCCAGCCACGCTATTGACTGAGTCCTTCCACTTTTTATCCAAAGAATAGGGACAATCCATGTGTTACTTATTGGAAAAAAAAATTTAATTCAGTTAACTTTCACTCACAAGAATATAAACGGTGAGTCAATATTAAATGAGATGATAAAAAAAAAAAACCGACTCAAATCTGAGACTATTCCTGCTGGAGATATAGGTCTTTACTTTCAGGATTATTCACTGTTGTTTTTAACAAACCAGTTTCGCTTGGACTATTTTTTTATTCTCTCTTGTGTCTCAGAGATTTACTTCTTAACACTAAGGCAGCTGCCAAGATGGCTTTGTCCCCTGAACCTCCAAGATCTGTTTATATTAAATGATAGCCACCTGGACTCACTTAAGCGGTCATTTAGATGTTGCAGACAGACTCAAATCCACTCGTGCCAAAAGAGGTGAAAAGCAACTTAAGAAAAGCTTGAGAAACATTTCAAAATACTTTTCCGCCGCAAGCTTTCTCCTTCACTGAGGAGTGTCCGGCCGGAACCAGCCAGAGCACTCTTATTTACTGAAAGGCAATACTCTCTCCCACATCGGTGGACGTGCCGGGATGAAGCAGCTGACCACAGGGAAGTCATTAGCCATCTGCCGAGACACGCCTTGCATAAGCGTGTCTTAGGCATAAGCCCACAAGGCTGGCTTTGAGACGGTGAGTTTATCAGCTAAAGGTGAGCTAGAACACACCTTTTCCCAAAAGTCACAGAATATTGAGAAAAGAGCCTCCTGGTTTTTTTTTTTTTAAAGACTTATTTATTTGTGCATACAGAACTGGGGTACAGGCCAGAGGCTCGGGGCGGTGAGAGGCTTCACCAGAGGCAGAGTGGGGAGCAGAACAGGCAGATCGACGAAGGACACTACTGAGGGGAGCAGCGGACGGGTCAGGAGAGGTCTGCCACGCCATGTGGTCACCTCCGGGGCAGGCAGGAATCGAACTCATGCGGAAGTGGCTTTAGATTCTCAGTGCTGTTCTTTAACCCACTGCGCCACCAGGGAGGGCCCGCCTCCTGGGTTTTAAAGAAAGAGTAATGGGGCCTGGAAGTTTGGATAGTGGTACTTAAGAATTATTTTTTAAAAGATTTATTTTACTAGTTGTGTGTACAAGAGCTGGGGTGCAGGTCAGAGGTGGGGTGGGGGTGAGAGAGTTCACCAGAGACAGAGTGGGCAGCAGAACAGGCAGATCAAGTGAAATTCAAGTGATGAGGGGACATGTGGGGGCCGGGGTGGGAGGGTCAGAACAGGTCTGCGCCATGTGGGTCAGCTCCCTGGCTGGGGATGGAACGCAGGCTGCAGTGGCTGTGGATAGCGTCATAGTGCTGAGTCTTAACCCCTGTTGCTGCCAGGGAGGCCCCCCCTTGAGAATTAGTTATTCATGAGGGCTGACATTTCCAACATGAGAGTAAGGCACAAAACATTTATCCGAAATAGCTGAAAATTATCTCGTAAGTTAAGAAAGGGAAGGGTTAGTGCTGAATGCTCAGCTACCTACTCTCATGTTATCATTTTGTGTTTACCACAGTTCCTTCAGATATCTGTCATTACAGTCACCTGATAGGTAAGGCAACAGAAACACAGAGATTTTCGACAAGACTTGCCTAAGGTTTGCATTTCTTGATGTCAATATTTGAACCCAGGTCTAAAGGTCATGGGTCTATTGCAGATATGGTGACAAACACCTGTGTGTGTGTGCGTGTGTGTGGACTTGCACAGAACTGGTCCCCACGGATGCTGTTCCCATATGGTGCTATTTCTAGGGAAGAGAAATGGAGCTTGTAAGGGGGCCCGTTTTCTCTTACTTCCCCTGGGGCATCCCCAACATCTCACTGCCTCACCACTAGAATCCTGCGTAGCTCATACCTGGTCTGAGGGATCCAGTGCTTTGTCTCTTGTGTGACCTGAGCCCTCAGGGGAAATCAGCCCTCTGACCTGGCTCAGAACATTGGGTGCTCTCCTCCCCCCACCACTCCAGTGTCACCTGGGAGTAGGGGTGTCCCCAGTGTGGGGGGGTATGCTTCCTCACCCACAGACCAGATTCCCCTAGGTCAGAGCTCAATCCCACTGAAGGTGTAGACAGGGGAGAAATCTACCTACTTGTGAGGTAGAAGAGTCTGATTGTTAGCCTTTCCAAGATAAAAAGGCTCCTGTTTCATGATACCAGTGGAGACATTTAAGGTGATAACTGGAAAACCACTCTGGTGCATCCAACTGTCCATTATGCTTTTCACTGTTGCCGGCAAAAGAATTTTACTCTGGTTATCTATGGCCTGTTTTAAAAAAGCATCACAGAAATAGGTGTTTATCTTCAAAATCTTTTGAGGTAGCAATCTGCTGAGAGAAATAGGCTATTCTGTTCCTCGTGTACAATAAATAGTAATCCCCAGTGGGTGATATGCTGAACCCCATTCAGTACTCTGTTCCCTGTTTCACTCATTGAGTGAACACATCTATGAATCATGTATTTATGCGTCACGCTCTGTTCTGGGCACCAGGAAAACAACCCCACACATAAGAAAGTTTCATAAACAAGGCAAAACGCTTTCCCAGGCTTTCCTCCCTGGCCTCTCCAAAGTATTGTGCTGTATTATACGAAACGACTCTGCACCCGTGTCAGGAAGCAGGACGATTACCATTTGAAAATGCCTCCACAGATCATCTTGGTCAGCATTTGAGTAAGAGAATGTCCCCAAATATGACTGTAAAAGCAGAAAAGTTATGGTTAAAACAAATAACACGCCTGGGCAAGTGTGTTGACCTGCCTTCTAGGTAAGCAATGGTTTGATAGACTCACCTTAAGTGCGCTGATAAATAAGTTTTCATTCAGGAAACTAGAAAGCATCCGGGCCAGAGAGGCTCCCTAAGACATAAGAAGCTGAACGTTATCTGAACAAAATTCAATACCTAAATATCGCTCCTGACCATTTTAATTAGCGAAATTCTGGGCTGTGTTCCTGACTGTGTTCCTGTTAGTTGGGTTACCACAAACTATGGTAGTAAAGTGGGAGACTGTCAGTAATTAACAGGTAAAAGGAGAACTAATGTCCTCCATATAAAAAGTTGAAGCGACACAAAAATTTTAATTGAGATATGTATATGCTAAGAGTAAATTTCCGCCAAACTGAAGGATTTGCCTTAAAAATAGCCGGTGACATCTATTTATAATAGTGGGAAGTACTGGGCTCATAGCTGCTAGAAGAGAATTGATTTAACCACATTTTCTGAAATCCACCTACAGAATAAAATTAAGATGACCTGTACCAGAGGGGACAGAGAAGCACACTCGCCTGTGGCCCTTAGAATTCACTTTATGCAACTTTGTGCAAGAATGCAGAGCAGAAAGAAATCTATTATTGACTTTACCTTGTTGTAAGTAAATAAGTCAAAGAGTTCATTTATTTCACTTGTCTCTGTAAAATTTTCCACCTTCATGGACACAGTTCTAGACACCAGGGCGTGGTCTTCTCTGAGTACACCGTGCAAAATGTTTGAAAAAAATACCTCGTTCTAAAAGGAAAAGAGTGAGCCACATTAACTTCTGTGGTATTGCAGAAACACTGAAGTCAATGTTTCTAAAATGCTTTAAAAAACTGACACTGAAGAAAAATAATAACGGAGAAGTGAGCTGGGATTTGCTATCTGCCAACCAAGTCAGGACTCATGGAATAAGAAAACTGTAGGATGTTTCCCATTTGGTATCCCTTTTTACTTCAAATTTAAAAAAAAATCAGTTATGAGAGTTAATGTGGTTCCAAGAAAGTAACCCACATTTCGCATAAGGTGGTTTCTAGCTAGCCAAAGGGGCCCTTCAAAAACAGCATCACTGGGTGATTTTAACCATCTAGAATTGTATTGGTAATTTTATGAGCAATGCCTTAAAGTTGAGCTCTCTTTCAAGGTCATTTACAAACCAAAGGCACGCCAGATTTACAAACTCACAAGGATGCCAGTGACATAATTTGTAATTGGAAATACATGTACAGACTGGATCCTATAGTTTATAGCTTGTATATTATGAGACAGCAATTCATTCTTTTTTTTTTTTTTAAGATTTATTTATTTGTGCATCCAGAACTGGGGTATAGGCCAGAGGTGCAGGGGCGGTGAGAGGCTTCACCAGAGAAGGAGTGGGGAGCAGAACAAGCAGACTGACTAAATACACTGCTGAGGGGAGCAGGAGAGGTGTGGCAGACCTGCCACACCATGTAGTCACCTTTGGGACTGGGAATTGAACTCATAATGAAGTGACTTTAGCTTCTTAGTACTGTGCCTTAACCCGCTGTGCCACCAGGGAGGGCCTGCATTATCTTTTAATCAAAGTACAGAACTCTCCAAAAGACTTGAGCCTTTTTAGACTCAGGGCAAAGACTATTTCTCCCTGAAAAAAAAGCTAGACAGAAAACCAATGCCTAGCCAAGGAGGTATGTGGGATGACAGAGCAGGAGATCAGGCAGTGGAGGGTCACAGAAGGAGCCAGCTCCTACCCTGGGAAGCTCAGGGAGCCCCGTGGCCCAGCTCCCCACTGATTCTCTGATTCCTCAGTGGTGACAGATAAACTTTGAAATTCTTCCCCACTTGTGTTTGCCAATATTTCAATCAGCCTCATCCTATTAGCATATTATTTTTAGATTTATTAATACCAGTGGTGAGGCCATTATTCGATTGTGTTCTTCCAGAGATGAGAAAGTCTGACATTTAGAGCAATGCATCTCAAACTTGAATGTGAATAAGTATCACCTGGAGACTTTTGTAAAACGCATATTCCAAGGCAGTTGATCTGGACGGGGGCCCATATTTCACATAAACTACCAGATGATGCAGATGTTGCTAGTTTGAGAAACAGACTAGGAGGAGCAGGGATTTAGAAGGGATATTTGCATAAGTCTGAGCTAATTCATTAAGGATACATTTTACAAATTAACACTCAAGAATTCTCGAGAGGATCTCATTGTTGACTAATGTGTCACATAAGCAAATGCAGAAATTGAATAAGAAACAGTCATAAAATGGTACCCTTGGGTGGATGTCATTCCATTGTTAGTGCAAGGGTCTGACAACAAAATGGTGGTTAGCAGAAGGTCAGAGGAAGTGGAGGCAGGAGGTGAAACGGGAGGGGTCACTTGGATGGAGGTGGATGGTAACTACGTCTTTGGTGGTAGGTGTGGTGGGGTACAGACAGATGTCAAGGTATGAAGCTATACAGCTGAAACTTACAGTATTGTAAACCTACGTTAGTACAGTTCTTTCCTATCTTCTTTCTGATGTATTAATTTATTCTCACAGTTGCAAAACTCCTGCTTAGTTACTTGTAATAGCATTCATTTTAACATTTTGCATCTCATCTTTATAACTGTCCCTAATAATGACTGATGCATTATAAATATAAATTGGAAGGCAAAAAAAAACAAAACAAAACTTAAAGTGATTACCACAGGGTAGTCAAATCACTTTATATGGTGCCTGGCAAATAGGAATGCTCAACAAGGTTGAAAGCCATTGCTGAGATTACTTGTTACTATTGCTGTTATTATTTCTGCAGGGCTGCTATGAAGACTGAACCAGACAATGTATAGAGTACAGTACAAGCACATAACAAGTGCTTAATCAATGATCATGATAGCTTTTGGTTGATAAAAACAGGCTGAATGACTTCAATGAAACTTATTTTATAGATGAAGAACTCAGCTCAAAAGTGTTTGACTGCTTTGTTCCACTCTAATGATCAGAAAAGAGGAAGATCTGATTGATTGCAAAGACCCAATGAGTCTTTTCCTCCACCAAGTTTTCTGCTTCCTGAGACGAGGAAGAAGAAGGCAGATAGAAGAGGGATTGCAGAGCTGGAGTCTGAGGGACCAAGAAAGCAACTGGTTCTTAACTCTCTGAGTCATTCAGCTAATTTTATTTTTAAAGATTGATTTATTTATGCATCCAGACTGGGTTACAGACCAGAGGTGCAGGGGCAGTGAGAGAATTCACCAGACACAGAGTGGGAAGCAGAACAAGCAGATCAACAAAGTGCACTGCTGAGGGGAGCAGCGGGCAGGTCAGGAGAGGTCTGCTGCACCATGTGGGTCACCTCCGGGGCAGGCAGGAATCGAACTCATGCAGAAGTGGCTTTAGCTTCGTAGTTCCGTAGTTCCGTGCTTTAACCTGCTGCACTACCAGGGAGGGCCTCAGCTAATGTTTCAATGACTGTCAGTTGCAATTAGACTAAGGCATAGAAAAAAATGCAAATATGTTTCTACATGTGGTTCTGTGATTCTCTTACTCAATTTCAATCTATGAGATTAAATGAAGTCAAAGTTCCTGATGTCTCAAAGGTCATTGAAACAAGGCTTTAAGCTTTTTAAAAACAAAGCTCATAGCCATTTCCTCAAGTGATCGGCTCTGAAGCTCTTTTGGCAAGCTCTTTTTCGTATCTAATCAACTCCACCAGCAACTGAGACATGCAGATTCAAAAGAGTGATTAAGAAAGCAACGATAAAAAGAAATAACTAAATGCTGCAAAAAAGAAGCTAATCTTATAACTTTATGATTACCAGTAATATGTTTTCACCGAATGTTCTCAGATAGGAGAAAATCTTAGCTATTTTAGTTGTATGGAAGTAACCAAGTACCATGGATGGTAATGATATGTTCTGTTTAATTAAGAAAATAGAAGGTAGGTTAATCAGGGTATGGGAATTGAATGTCTTTCCTAAGCATGGAGTTAATTTGGGATACAGCCAAACACATTCAGAAACAGCGACTCTGACCACATGGAGATTTTGTTTTATAAAAGATATAAACAGTTTTGTAAATACAGAGTATAAAAGGGCTTTTGAAGACAACAAAGATTGACTCTCTGTAGATAAAGTTAACCTGTAATAAAAGACCCATATAAAGAACACATACTCCATGAGGACAAGAACACTCCCGGATGCCTACACCACAGAGGACAGAAGATTAAGTCATGGGCTTTAAAGTCAGAAAAACTTGGAACTGAATCAGGCCTCTGACTTATCGCTGTGAGGCCTTGGATGACTTAATGTTTCTATGCCTCGGCCTCCTCAAGAACTCCACGCATGTAACTGCTCTGAAGATTCTTTACAGGGATGCATGCAAAGAATGTCCACTGCCTGGCACTTAAATCCTAAGTGTTCAGCGAATGGGAAATATTTTATTATTGCTGTTATTGTCATGATATCTATCATCAGACTAGGCCTGGGCAACCGGGCTACAACCATGGTTCTTTCCTAAATGGAAAAATGTTCTTGCAAAAGTCACTTGACCTTTCAACACTTCACTCTCCTGATCGATATATATGACACTGTCAGAGCTCCCCTTTGGGCAAAGCAGTGTCTGATCATAGCCCAGAGAAGCAAGAGCAGAGGCTGAACTGCTAGGGGCAGGCTTGTTGGAGGGTACAGGCAAAGGATCGGGTGTTCGGTATGAAACTGGAGTGCTTAGAGGCTGCTTTACCAGAGCTTCCAAGTAACTGCAATTTCACAAACACATGGAAAGATGGTGGCTGTTTTTTGTTTTTTGTTTTTTTTTTTAAGTTTGTGTAGGGTCAAGAGAGCTTTGTCAACTTTTCTACAATCAATCAATGGAAAACAAATACCATCTACGGACCATTTCCATCCTCTTATAAAACTAAAACTTTACCACCAATTAGAATAGAAATACTAAATTCTGAGCATCTCCTCGAAGTGAACAAATACAGCCTGTAGGGAAGGTCTGGTCAGCCGGGGAGATGAGCGTTTCAAATAGCAATAAACTCTCAGAATGTGTGAAGGTAGAAGGAGAAGACAGTCCAAGAATCAAGCCTTGGAAACCCTTGGGAGTGAAGCGAGAGCAGGGAGGCCCGCAAGGGGGCTGGGTGGGAGTCCACAGATTGGGCAGAAGGCCGGAACAGGGAGGAGGGAGGGGGCTGAGGCCCCTCTGATTTGCTATAAAGAGTGATGTCTGTGTCAAGAGATGATATTAAGTCCCAACATTTAACTAACCAAATAAAATCAAACCAGTGTGGGTTTATCATGCCATGTGAAAGCACAGCCTAATAATTCCCAATAAATTATCCAAAGTAAAACTTATAGTCCAAATAATCAGATTTGCATATCCATTAATTTACTTTACAGTAGTTTTGCTCAAAACAACAAAACAATCTCAGCTATAAGAGTGCAGGTATTAATAATTCATAACAGCTATTATATACAAAACAACATCTGTGTTCGTAATGTACATGACGAAGCATATTACTTATCATTAAAGTCATAGACTGCTGATTACAACTGCTTTAAAATATAGTCTAGCTGGTCCTCCCTGGTGGCGCAGCGGGTTAAAGCACAGCACTGAGAAGCTAAAGCCACTTCCGCATGAATTCGATTCCCGCCTGCCCCGGAGGTGACCACATGGCGTGGCAGACCTCTCCTGACCCGCCTGCTGCTCCCCTCAGCAGTGTACTTCCTCGATCTGCCTGTTCTGCTCCCCACTCTGTCTCTGGTGAAGCCTCTCACCGCCCCTGAGCCTCTGGCCTGTCCCCCAGTTCTGTATGTACAAATAAATAAATCTTTAAAAATATATATATATAGTCTAGCTAAGAATAAGTGAAAATAACCAAAAATCTAACATATGGAAAGATTACATATATGCATAAATATACTATATGTTGATGGAATAAAGTATGAGGCAGCCATAAAAATCTTGTTTTCAAAAGTCACTTAATGATTTATGGAAATGGTAATGATAACACAGAAATTATTTTGTATAATTTTCCAATTTTATGATGATTTATAACAAGTAAAATGCCTGGGAAAAGAAATGAACAAAGTGAAAAATGCTAACATCTCTGATATTACAAGCAAGGTAGTATTCCTTCTAATTTTCTGTAATTCACTACTTTTCAACAATGAATATGCATTACTTTTGTAATGAGGAGGAAGAAATTGCAAATAAATTTAACAGACATACTTACTTTTGGGATTTTGGGGTTGAAGTAGTTAGTGACTCCAAACTCAAAGTAAGATGCAAAACCTTCATTGAGCCAGATATTGTTCCACCAATTCATGGTAACCAAGTTTCCAAACCACTTTTTGCAGATGGGAGAAAAAGTTTTTTTTCAGTGTAAGTACTATTTATCGTAATTGAATGTCAAATAAATGTAAGATCAAAAACGTAAACTTTATTTTCTATCACTAACAAAACTTGAGGAGTCCAAAAACACATGCTGTTTCAATATGAAGAGAGGATCAGTCATGCATTTCTCAGAAATAAAGATGTAACATCCAATGATTGAAAATAACGTTTTGTTTTGAAATTGTGATGTTTGCAAACAATATAAGTTAGAGAAACATTTCTGAAACTGTCCATTTTGCCCAAAAGTTATATTCAGTCAAATAAAGCAAATGTACCGAATGTTCACTCAAACCCTACAAACGCCAGCATTTCTACTTTAAACAGACCACAATAGGATTTTGTTGCTAGCAGTTATGTTTTAAGAACATGACTTGATATGCACCATGTATAAATCACTCAAGTAATTGTACGTTCTGCTATGTGGTTCAGCTATAATTATTTTCTATTTGAGCTGAACAGAGAGAAAGTGTCAAAATGTTGATGAATAGGATCAGGAAAGAAAAACACAATCATTTCCAAAACCAACAAGTCCACACCCTGGTATTTCACCAAATTCTTATAACAGCTGTGATGTACTTAATAGTTAGCAGCCGGTATTCCAAAACAACGTGTCACTTAGGATATAATAAGAGATGGCGCCTTGGGTAACTGATCAAAGCTTGTGAAAGTAGGTATTAACCTAGTCATAAGGCACTACTCTACCCTAGAAAATCACTCTTTCCCAAACCTTCTTATGGATTTACATAAGAAGAAAAATAGTAGTTTCCTAGTTCAGGGGATTTTTCTCTTGACAAATTTGTATTAATAGGGATCAAGATATAGATGGAAAATGGCCCTCCCTGGTGGCACTCTGGGTTAAGTCTCAACACTGTCAATCTTTCTACAGCCACTGCAGCACGAGCTCAATCCCAGCCAGGGAGGCGACCGACATGGCGCAGCAGACCAGATCTCTCCTGACCTGCCCGTTGCTTCTCTCAGCAGTGTATGTCAGTAGATCCTCCTGTTCTGCAGGCTACTCTGTCTCTGGTGAATCCTCTCACCCCTCCTGAACCTCTGGCCTGTACCTCAGTTCTGTATGCATAAATAAAACAAACCTCTGGCCTGTACCTCAGTTCTGTATGCATAAATAAAACAAACCTTTAAAATAAAATAAAATGTAGATAAATGTAGATAAATACTTGTTTATGCTGCTCACCTTACTGCTAATATTTTACCAGTTTATAACAGTCTACTAAAGAAACAGGGATATCTTTCATGTGTACCTTTTTGAAGATTCCTTATATCAAAAGGGATAAAAACCAAATAATCATACCTCTGCTTGCTTTACTTTCCCCAAAGGGAACTTTGCAGAACAAAGTCACTCTTCAGATATAAATATCTGACCCTTGAGTAGACTGTAAGTTCTCATTAAACAGTACAAATTCATCCAGGATCTATTTACACAGGCCCTTCCTTGTTTTCATTCACTGTCCCACTTTTTGAATTATTTTTTTCATTTGGTAATAGCATTTTAAAAAAAATTTTTGCTACTTTTGGTAGAACAGCTGAAGAATATCTTCACGTAAAATAGAAGAAAGAACATTTTACCACATGCCTGGTGTCCAATCTCGTGAGAGACAATGTAGGAGATCATAGTCTTTTTTTCTGTTAGTTGATCATTTGGTAGCAGCAACAATAATGATTCATCAAATATCAATAGTCCCCAATTTTCCATTGCACGGTTGTCAAAACTAGGCAAGGCAATTATATCTAAGTGGATTTAAATGGAGGGGAAATGAGATCATCTCTTCAAAAAATATTTGAGATTTCCAGTTATAAATCTCTCAAGATGAAACCACATAATACTGAAATAAAATACAAGTGAATAATTACTATCAGAGGGGAGAGTAGGACTTAAAGACTAATACTAGACAGAAGCCAGAAAATAAATTGGTTTTGACCATGTAAGGAATCAAGTGTTTGTGATAAAGGACTGATATCCAAAATATAGAAAGTCCCCAAAATAGAACAATAAAAATAAACTTTAGGCCCTCCCTGGTGGTGCAGCGGGTTAAAGCACAGCACTAAGAATCTGAAACCACTTCCACATGAGTTCCATTCCCGCCCGCCCCGGAAGTGACCACATGGCGCGGCAGACCTCTCCTGACCCGTCCGCTGCTCCCCTCAGCAGTGTGCTTCGTAGATCTGCCTGTTCTGCTCCCCATTCTGTCTCTGGTGAAGCTTCTCGCCACCCCTGAGCCTCTGGCCTGTCCCCCAGTTCTGTATGCACAAATAAATCTTTAAAAATAAATAAACTTTAATAATAAAATGGGCAAAAGATTTAAATAGACACTAAATTAGATACACAAATGGCAAGAGGATGTAGGAAAGATACTCAACATCTTATTTTATGTTGTTAGGAAACTGCAAATTAAAGCATTTGCGGAATACAACTACACAATTGATAAGAAGGTTCAAAGCCAGAACACAGCACCAAATGCCGGAGAAGCTGTGAAGCAACAGGCAATTGGATGCATTGCTTATAAGACTACAAAATGGTAGAACGCCTCAGAAGACAGTTTAGTGCCTTCTTGTAAAGCCAAGTATAGGTTTACCATTGGGTCTACCAATGGAGTTCCTAGCTGTTTGCCTGAATGAGTAGAAAGCTATACCCATACAAAAACTTGCTCATGAATGTCTATAATCATCTTTGTCATTGCCAAAAGTGGGAGTGGCCAAAATGCCCTTCAACAGGTGACAGGGTTGACACACTGTGGCATAGCCATACAGGAGAGTCTTAGTCAATGATGAAAAGAAATGAGCTACCAGACTATGAATATTCGTGGAGGAAGAGCACACATGGCTTAGTAAAAGAAACAAACCTGAAAACCCTCACGTGGTATGTGTCCAACTATATAACATTGTGGAAAAGGTGCACTAAAGAGAAAGAGAGTATAGATCTCAATACATCAATATATAGATGTAATGCCACATATCTGTATATATCAGTGGTTGTCAGGGATTTGGGGGCGAAGATGGGGGTGAAATGGCAAAGCATAGGAGGGAAACTATTTTCTGTGATTCTGTAACTGTGCATTAGTAAATTACCATTTGTCAGAATTCATAGAACTCTACAACACAGAGAGTATATCCTAATGTAAGCTATGGACTTTAGTTAATAATAATGTGTTAATATTATTTCATCCATTGTAATAAATGGCTCACACTATCAGGATGATAGCAGCAATCAAAAGGAGGGGAAGAAGAGGAATACGAGAACTCTCTGTACTTTCTGTCAATCTAAAGCTGCTCTAAAAAATAAAATCTACTTAAGTATTTTCATTCCCAGAAGACCATATATAAATTTGAAAACCTAATAAACTGGGGAGAATATCTGCAGCACAAACAACTAGGTGATTTTTTTTTAATATTGAAAGATCTCTGCAAGTCAGAAAGTAAAAACAAAAATGTGAATAAACCTCACAAGAAATAATTCAAAGGCCAAAAAATCTAATTTAAATTGCCCAACATCACTGACTATGGAAAACAAAACGTAAAACAATTAACAAAGCAATGGTTTCAATATGTAAGTGGGTTGTCGCTAGTGTTAAGAGTTAGGTGCAGAAGAATTGCCATGTGAAGGTATAGACTGACGCGATCTTTCTGGAGCAACAGCAAAATGCTTCATCATCTTTTTAAAAATTCCTATTTTGGGGCTCTCCCTGGTGGTGCAACAGGTTAAAGCACAGCACCATGAAGCTATTGGCAGCCACAGCAGCATGAGTTCGATTCTCGGACACGGAACTGACCCACATGGCGTGGCAGACCTCTCCTGACCCGCCCGCTGCTCCCGCCAGCAGTGTGTCTCAGTAGATCTCTCCCCACTCTGTCTCTGGTGAATCCTCTCACTCACCACACCTCTGGCCTGTACCCCAGTTCTACAAGCATAAATAAAATAAATTTTTTTTAATAAATCTTTTTTAAAAAATTCCTATTTTTACCATAGTCCCCCACATTTCTCCGAATTGGGGATGGAGGAAAGTAAATATTGTTTTAAAATAAACAACAATGTAAATGGATATATAAATTTTAAAAAAAAGCTAAAGCAAAAAGAAAAGTTTATGATAGTAGATTTCATATTGTATGATTTTGCCGTAATAAAAAATGCAAAAATAAATCCTCTTTTTGGAAAGTCATTCAACATTTGGATTGATATGGAGGATAATAGCGTGGATATTGATATACATCTCCCTATGTTTCCTTTCATTTTTTAAGTAACCTCAAAAACGTGTTTAATCAGTGCAAAGTTTGGACCACAGAGGATTCAATATGTCAAATGGAAAGTAAGCATTGTAGATCTTAGAAATATCAAAAAAAAAAAAATAGTTATCAGGCTCCTGAAATTTGAATTGCATATGATTCCCATGAGTCAAAAAATACTCTTTGGTTTAAAAAAAACCCATTTTAAAGTGGGAAAACTATTTATATGTGTCATGGGACATGCAAACAGTAGGCAAGAGCCATGTTTGATAGTTCTACCATCTCTACTTTAGAATACTGCTCGTATCTCATGCTGTGGTTCCCAAGTCAGCAGCTTCAGCACTCCATAGGAACTTACAAGAAGGACACATTGTAGAACCAGCTGAGTGTTTTGTTGTTGTTTTTCAGAATATTAGCAAGGCTGCCATGGTAGCTGCTGCTCTGTGAACTTCTCGATGCTACCCAAGGACGATAAGGAGAAAGAACGATGCTAGAAAGTCAGCCAAGAAAGACAAAGATTCAGTGAACAAATCTGGGGGTAAGGCCAAAAGGAAGTGGTCCAAAGGCAAAGTTTGGGATAAACTCAAAAACTCAAAAAACTAGTCTTGTTTGACAAACTACATATGACAAAATCCATAGGGAAGTTCCTATGTCTAACCCCAGCTGTTGTATCCAAGAGGCTAAAGATCCATGGTTCTTTGGCCAGGGCAGCCTTTCAGCAGGTCTTTAGTAAAAGACTTATTCAACTGGTTTCAAGACACAGGGCTCAGCTAACTGCCACCAGAAACACCAAGGATGGAGATGCCCCAGCTGCTTGTGAAGGTACAGGAACATTTCCCACCAACTCACCATTTTGAAAAATATAGACTTTATTTTAGAACATTAACCAGTTGATGGTCCAACCACTATAGAAAGCTGTGTGGACTACTTTCATATGACCCAACAATTCCACTCCTGGGGATCAACCCAAAGGACACAAAACCATTAATTCAAAAGGATACCTGCACCTCTATGTTTATTGTAGCACTATTTATAATAGGTACAACTTGGAATCAACCCATATGCTCAAAGATAGATGACTGGATCAAGAAGATGTGGCCCATATACATAATGGAATACTACTCGGCAATCAAAAAGATAAACTAATGCATTTGCAGCAACATGAATGGAGCTAACAGTGATTATGCTCAGTGAAATAAGGAGTAAGAAAAATACCTGAGGGTTTCACTTATAGGAGATATGGGGAAGCCACACAAGGGATCAGGGAATAAAAATAATACCAATAGAAAACACAGCGCAACAAAACAAAAACAGACAACTGTAAATCAGAGATATTCTGCAGGGGAGGGGGAGGAGGAGGGATCAGAATGAGGGAAGGAAGAGCACACAGGACTATGACGATGGTGCATGGGTGAACTGGTGGGGGGAGTTCTATGGGGACCACACCTCAGAAAAGAAATCAAACACTGTAAAAATAAAAAAAGGAAGAACAATAATGAATATATATACATATATAATTATTTATTAAAGGAAAATAAATTAAAAATGAACCAGTTGAGTAGAAGGTATTCAGGGTGGCAGACTGCAAGTGAGCAAGCCTTGGCAGCGAAGAGGAAGATGAAGTGTAGACGTGGATAGAGATGGCAGTGGAACATCCTTCCCACTGTGCAGACTTAGCAAAGGCCCTGACGGCTTGGCAAGAGGAACACTGTCAGAGAGACAGAGTATGGGGTCTGGACTTGACCTCAGCACAAAGGGAGGCCATAGCAAGGTCTTAAACAGCAACATAATCAGTTTTTTTTTTCTTTGGAAAGGTCCTTGAATTCGGAGTGAGAGACAGCAGGGAGACAGTTGGGGGTGATGGGCTCAGCAAGGTCTGTTGAGGTAGAGAGGTTGTGACGTAAGTTAGGGAGAAGTGGAGGCACGGGAAGGCGTGATCAGCTGCAGGAGGTACTCATTCAGGAGACTCACGGGAGAGAGGAATGAGCTGAAGGGACAGGGCGTCAGGAGGACTCAGGACTGCTTATGCAAAATAAAGACACAGAATTTTTCTTGCCTAGGTAAGGGCCATCTTGAGATCCTCCAGAGACAGACTTTGCTGCAAATTTGATCTCCCAGCCCAAGTTCCTGCTCCTTTAACTTTCCAAAGGACAGGCATTGCCTTTGAGTTCCTTGAATGGGCTGGCACTGGTCCCCATTTCTTCACTTCCTCTTGCCCCTTAACCAGAAGACTGGAGCTGCAGGGCTCCTGGCTTCCTGGGGCTCAAGAGGCTCGAGCCCCCAAATGTTCAGTCTCCACATTCTTCCACCATCTGCCAGTATAGGCGGAACATATTTTTTCCATGAGTTCAGCTAACATGTCAGGGGAACAAACTACATTTACATGATTGCCTCAATTTAGAGAGAAAAACATAGAGCAACGTTTAAGCTGAGTGCCTTACACAGTTTAAGGGACATACCATACAAATCTAGGCGAGATAAAATGTTTACATTATTTCCTCAAGGATCATATTATGTTCACACATGATTCCAATTTTAGACAACAAAAATTCACAGATGGGACCCCCAAGCACTAATCCAATGACTCGCAGCTAAAGAATATTAAAAAACAAAAACGAAAACTTACTAAAGAGAACTGGGGAAATGCACGCAGGCCCGCTATAAGGGTTCAGGACAGACGAGCTGCCCTGTATTAGTAAGGGGGGGCCCCCAAGGGACCAACTCCCAGCTGTAGCTGAAAGGTGATGGTGGGTCCTACTTGCTGGGTACCCTTTGAATCTATGTCCCCATCAGAGGAAAATTCATTGCATTGGAAAGGAACATGCCATACTTGGTTTTGTTTACTTTTTTTTTCTCACCTGTTTTTGGAAGAGGGTAACTAATATTGAACAAATCTTCCAGAAAAGAGAAGATTGGGCCTGTGATGTTCAAAGCAAAGTCTGCATTTCCATTTGCGATGGCATCTTTCCGGGCCCAGATACGGATCTGAAGGAGACAATTAAGCCTTGATTAGGGAAAGTGCTAGTGATTTCGGAGAGTGGCAGCCTGCTCGCTCCAATTCCCCAGTGCTCCTAGGGCAAGTCTCATCTGTGCAGAAGATGCTATGTAATCAAATGTTCAAGTGCAAGCAGCTGAGAAAAGCACAGAAAGTTGCTCATTTGCTACATTGTGAAGAGTGGTAGCCCTGGGAACCATGTTATTTCAATCTTACAAAAACATGCATGACTTCAGTGGTTCAAAAACAACCCTTGGAGAGTTGTGCAGGAAATGTAGCTACTTTAAGGTGGAACTGACCTCTCTTCCCAGCGCCTCTTTCCAATCATCTCAAATAGATTCATGCAGGGCCTCCCTGGTGGTTCAGGGGTTAAAAAATCTCAGCACTGTCAGGCTACTGACAGCCACTGCAGCATCTCCCCCACACCCCACCAGGGGGGTGACCCACAGTGCGCAGCAGACTTCTCCTGTCCCACCCACTGCTCCCCTCAGCAGTTTATTTCAGTAATCTGCCTGTTCTGCTCCCCACTCTGTCTCTGGTGAATCCTCTCATCCCCTGTACCTCTGGTCTATACTCCATTTCTTGGATGTAAAATAAATCTTTTTAAAAAATCAAAATAAACTCATGAAGTAAGTGGGAGCCACATAGCCTGGTATATATTAAAGAAACTTGAAACAAGCAAATTTAAAATAGTTTGCTAATGAAAGAATTAATAATCCCATCTTCTACTTCTATTTTGAAACAAGGTTAAGTCCCCTAATTTTAAAAAGTTCACCAAAGTTTTATGATTTTATACCTGTTGAAGCAAGCAAATGATATTCTCTCTATATGATACACAGACTCTTCGTAGACTAAAAGAAATCTTTCTCCTCCAAGAAACCTTTGCTATGTTTTCTCAGCGTAAGTATTTGTTATATGTTGAGATATAAAGTCACAAACACGTATTTTTGGAAATGAATGGCAAATCAATAACCTTTTGAAGAAAATAATAATTGTGCTGGTGTTTTAACATTTATTATTTTAATATGAGATGATTCATATCCTAGCACAATACCATCTAAAGACTTTCGATGGCATCTGTAGCGTTGGCGCTAAAGAAAATGTATAAAAATCAATAACCTTGGAACAAAAATTAAAATAATTGTCCTGATGAATACAGCTAATTTAAGCAGGAACTCTGCAAATGCTAAGAAAACAAAAAAGCAGCACAGTGATATTTGCAGATTTCAATACTGCGAGAACATAGTCATTGTACATTTATTTCTGCTGAAACATAATGTCATGCACTAGGTGAATTTTGGATTATGTGAAGCCTTCGGGAATGTTTCTCTCTCACGCAGTACTATCAGCTATTTTTGGAGACCCCTGCCTTGGTTCCTGAGTGCCTCTCACCCGCTCTTGCTGTGCAGTCTTATCCTGGGGAGGAGAGGTCCAGGACTCAGTCCTACCCTGCTGTAAACCTGTAAACCTCCTCTAGTTCTAACTCCTAGAAAGACCTCTGGACTAACGCCCACAGTCCGGCATGGAGATCATACTCACGTCCCTCCACTTTCAAGACAGTGTGTGCATTTTAAAGATTTATTTATTTATTTATGCATACAGAACTGGGGGACAGGCCAGAGGCTCAGGGGCGGTGAGAGGCTTCACCAGAGACGGAGTGGGGAACAGAACAGGCAGACTGATGAAGTACACTGCTGAGGGGAGCTGTGGGCGGGTCAGGAGAGGTCTGCCATGCCATGTGGGTCACCTCTGGGGCGGGGCAGGCGGGGATCGAACTCATGGGGAAGTGGCTTTCGATTCTTAGTGCTATGCTTTAACCCGCTGCGCCACCAGGGAGGGCCGCGTGTGCATTTTAACTGGGGCCTTTGGAAAAGAACAGCAGTAACAATTCAGGTGTATATGCTCCATCCCAGTTTATAAAGTCCCTCTCTTGGGCTACTATTCTATATGCCAAAGCAAGGAAATGATGGTGATTTCAAGCTGGGTGGGAGGGCTGAGTGACCCCTGGCTAAGGACTGAGGAATATAAGCCAGCAAGGAATGTTCTGGAGAGGCAGCCAATTAAGTTACTGCAGAGCACAGAGGCACTCCTGGCCCGGCGTGTGTCCTGGTGGCCCTCCCCAGGCACGGCCGTCCTCAGCCTCTGGAGAGGAACACCTGTCCACAGGCCGTGTGTGCAAAGTCTACCCCAGTATGCTCACTTCACCCTACTTACATTTTACCTCGCTGTAAAATGTACAGTGTACCTCACGCCACACATTAACCACATGTTCAGTTTCACCAAATTCCTATCTCTCACTTAATGAGCAATTTGTGTGCAGCTCGAAGCTAGTCCAAGAGCACACTGCTTCCCCTGTGGCTTGTATGGAGGACTCCTGCGCTTCCTACAGCTGAGCCGTGGCCAAAAGGCAGCATTCCACTGATAAACTCATCCCAACTTTCCATCTTCTGGCTAAGAGCATTAGGGCATGTCCCATCTCCTCTCTGCTTGCAATGCTGCTGGGTTTCTTCTCAGAGTGACCTTGCACAAAGAAGCAGACTTGATTCCTTTGTGAGAATTGTTCTCTGGGCATAGCACTGACAGCAACAAGCTGACGTGCAGCGTCACTGCCGATGGGCCACCTTCAGTCACCGTTAGCTCTGGGGCCCGCGCCTCCAGGCCAGCTTCAACGCAGGTGCTTGCAAATCATGCCTGAGCAGCTTGACCAGCGTGTCATGTGTGTTTGACTTGGCAGGTGCTAGGTGCTGTTGAGGACCTACCAGGAAGTAGTCACTAAGGGAACCGCTGAGGAAGATAACACCTGTTACTCTCATTCAACAGTGTTATTAATCCATCACTAGGTTAGGAGGAGGAAGAGGAGAAGCTTTGAGTGATTCTTCCTCTGGGGACAGGCTTGGATCACTCATGGCTGCCTTGTCCACTCGAGTAAGTGGCATGAGCCTAGAAGACCTCAGGCCCAGGAGAGAGCCTCAGTCAGTTAAAGACCAGATTGTCCTGGGCCCTCCCTGGTGGCACAACGGGTTAAAGCGCAACATTATGAAGCCAGCCACTGCCGCTTCAGCGCGAGTTCGATCCCAGTCAGGGAGATGACCCACATGGCGCAAGCAGCAGACCTCTCCTGACCTGCCCACTGTGCCCCTCAGCAGTGTACTTCATTGATCTGCCTGTTCTGCTCCTCACTCTGTCTCTGGTGAAGCTTCTCAGAACCCCTACACCTCTGGCCTATACCCCACTACTGTAGGCATAAATAAATCTTAAAAAAAAAAATACCCAGATTTTCCTGAATCCCATGAACTCAATTGACTAGTAAGAGCCAGGCCCCCAGCCCCCAGCACTGGCCTTAGTTACCTCTACATTTGACTACAGGGACTGAGTCAACTATAAAGTACTGCCATGGTAACCCCATATGCTCTGAAATGGTCACCATGTAATGAGGGATCCTTGGGGGGAAACTATCATCGTTCAGGACAAAGCACAACTTAGAGTGGCGGGGTCAGCAGCACTGCCTTGAGATAGGGCTTATATTTAGCTTGCATGCACCATTTCAGCCACAAGTGTTGTTCCTAGCTGAGGTCTGTCTGAGTTGGTTGGTGCCGTGTGACCCTGGTTGATAAGCATATTGGGTATCAGCCCAGCTTTGAAAGTGTAGTACAGGGAGCTCCCTGCTGGCACAACAGGTTAAAGCACAGCAATAGGAAGCTGTGTGCAGCCACTGGAGCATGAGTTCGATCCCCCACCAGGGAGGTGACCCACATGGCGCAGCAGACCTCTCCTGTCTCACCTGCTTCTCCCCTCAGCAATGTATTTCACTCTATCTGTCTGTTCTGCTCCCCATACTGTCTCTGGCGAATCCTCTCACCCCCCAACCTCTGGCCTGTACCCCAGTTCTTGTATGCATAAATAAATAAACCGTTTTATAAATGTGGTACATTGTAGATTAGACAGGCAGTAGTCAAGCTCAGCTTCAAGTGGCAGCTCTCTCTATTCTCCCCTAGCCTCTGAAAGGCTGCTACTGGGTGGCTGGGGGTGGGGGGGGAGGGGACAGATGCTAGCTGCCTTGGTGGGGTGGGCTCAGTTTGCAGCCTTCCCATGGAAACCTGCCACAGCCCATTCCACAAAGTCACACCAAGACTCTCACAGGGATGACAAAAGCCGGAGAGAGACAGGAGGGGAGAGTGGGAGGTGTAAGCAGAGCCCCTGAGTACAAGCCGTAAGTGTGCCTCACCTGAAGTCTTCCTTACTCACCTCCTTGCCCCGCTCAGTTTTGGTGACATAGTCATAGTCGCACACAGCAAGAGCCACTAAGTACGTAGGCATGTAGGGTGTGGTGTGAAAGGCGGTAACTGTCCACTTGCTTCCATCCACATCTTCTTTTTCAGACTGACCTAGAGAAATTTTAGTCCACATCACTGTAAACCTAAGCAAAAATTTCTACCTTTGAAACAACCTGTCAATTGTTGACTGATAGCTCTTCAGAGTTGAGCAGTTTGGTTTTCTCTTCTCCTAAGGTATCAAAGCTATATTAAAGAGATCTCGCAACAGCAGCATGGGCTTGAATAGTATCTTGAAGAACAGTCTCAGCTGAGGACCAAATCCAGGAACCTGGTCAGTAAGGCCCGTGACCTGCCTCCTCTCCTTCCTATCCACTTCTACTCTTCCTCGTCCAGCCCATTTCTCACACTTATCTAGAGCTTCCCAGGCCCATGGTCAGAAGTTACAATTCTGCCATTCTTGGGCTTTGGCTTATTGTTCACTGGAGGCAGTGTATAGCCTTTAAAACTAAAATCATGGGGTCTCCCTGGTGGCATAAGGGGTTAAGTCGCAGTACTATGAAGCTAACCACAGCCACTGCAACATGAGTTCCATCTCCAGGCAGGGAGGTGACCCACACAGCACAGCAGACCTCTCCTGTCTCACTTGCTGCTCCCCTCAGCAGTATATTTCAGTAGATCTGCCTGTTCTGCTCCCCACTTTGTCTCTGGTGAATCCTCTCACTAACCCCCCACCCCCAGCACCTCTGCCCTGTATCCTGTATCTGTTTATGCATCAATAAATAGATTTTTAAAAATAAAGCTAAAATAGTTAACTGGAAGCCCCCCAGGAAAGGTACTTGATGTGAAATCATTCACATCCACTGACAGGTAGTGGCGGGGACAGGAAAGGCTGGGGGTGCTGTCTCAGCCTGCAGGGAGGGGCAGCCTTTTCTGTTATAACTATCATTGTCGTGAAGGGCCTGCAGGCCCATCATGGTGGTTAGGGTTTCTGAGTTTTCAAGGAAGGATCTTTTTTTTTTTTTTTCCAAAGATTTATTTGTTTATGCATACAGAACTGGGACACAGGCCAGAGGTTCGAGTGTTTGAGCGGACTCACCAGAGACAGAGTGGGGAGTAGAACAGGTAGATGTACTGAAATACACTGCTGAGGGGAGCAACGGGGAGACAGGAGAGGTCTGCTGCTCCCTGTGGGTCACCTCCCTGGCTGGGGATCAAACCCAGGCTGCAGTGGCTACAAATAGCTTCATAGTGCTGTGCTTTAAACCCATTGCACCACCAGGGAGGGCTCCAGGGAGAATCTTTATGTGAAATCTCTGGATTTTTAAAGTTGGATATAACTCAATCAAAAGAAAAAAGTCATATGAGCCAAATAAAACACATGTGTGTGCCAGATTCAGACTAAGCTTGTTATCACTAATGATCAATAGTCGAGTCCCAAACTAATGGACAGAAAAGGCTGCCAGTGTAGAACAACAGATCCAGATTCTCACACAAGAACAATCTGGATTTGCCATCTCCAAGATGTGGGTGCTGGCACATACCCTATTGCAAAGAGCTCCCTAATAATAATCCACTGTAAATATACTGCAGCAACACATTGCCTAGAAATGCTACAGATTTAACAGATATTCAAGAACTATAGATATATATAAATACATGTAATTAACATTTTGAAATGTATATGCATATAGTATATATAATAAGTGAAACAGGAACTTTACTTACCTAGCTGTGGCATATTAGAAAGGGCCACATAACTTGGATGGTGAATAATTGTAATATTAAAAGTTGCTTTCAGAGCTGGCTCATCAAAACAAGGGAAAACATTCCTGGCAAATGTTGGTTCCATCTGAGATGCTAACAAAGCCCTGAAATACATTTTTTGGAAAATTGCTATTTATTTTTATCTCCCATCAGTGGAGACCAAAACTAAAATCTTGTGATATTATAACTTAAAATTATTTTGCAGGAAGAAACTAAGATGTTTTCCCTTCATCTTCTTTATGTTCCCCAAACACTGATACATTGCAATTCTTAACGCACCTTAGACTTCGTGTATGATCTAAAATACACCTTGATATTTTACTTAAACTTCAACCAGAAAATAAAATTCACTATGTCATAGACCTTTACAATCTTTTACACACACACACACACACAAAAAAAAAAAAAAACCAGAACAAATACAACAACTACTTACATGCCAGGATGCCAGGTTTTCCAGAACCAATTATTTTTTAAAGTAGGACTGCTTCTTTGGGAATGGTTTGTTCCTTCCATCCTCCACCCAAGAGCAAGCCAGCTCATACTGTCTACATTTTTGATCTTTTCTCCATGCTCTCTACTCTTCCTGCTTGAAAACTTACAGACAAGTCTTTGCACGGCCTTGGGGATAAAAAACTTGAGACAAGCCAACGGAATAAAACTGCTTTCATTTTCATAGGAGTGGAGTGTCATCAACTCCTGTTTCTCTCAGCTCCAAGGAAAAACACAAGAAGTGACAGCATCCCACTGGCATTGGAGGTTTGCAGGGAAAAGCAGAGGGATAGGAGCTCTGAACAGACTGGGAGATCGTCAGGCATGTCCTCTGTAAACACCCCCAAGTCTGAGGAGAGTGGACCCTGCATTGTGTCTGCCTGGAAACCTGCCTCAACATCACACTTGTGGTGGTTAAATTCCCTTTTTGTCCCCTGGTGCCGGAGACTTCACATCTCGGGTGCATTTACTCGTACTTCAGGGAAGTTTGGGCCCTCCCTGGAGGCGCAGCAGGTTAAAGCACAGCACTGAGAAGCTAAAGCCACTTCAGCATGAGTGGAAATAATGCTACTAATTACTGTGTATTATTGTTTGAGCTTTTTTGCTACCAGTAGCTAAATTTACCAATAAATGACCTTTGACTTTTCCTACATTCCCTCCTACCTCGCTAATCTCGCTTTGACATAGAATTCAAGGAGAAGATAAGTGGCACAGCAAGATGTAGAGTTGAAAACCACTAATTATAAATGCATTTGAAAAAGCCCAAGATGTCAGTGGAGTATGAAACCAGTCTTGTCTCCTGAGTAAATTTTAAACTACCAGAAGTTGGATTTAAATATTTGTATGTATGTATACACCCACACATATATTCTTTTCTTCTGTATTATTCATAATGCTTGGCAAAAAAATACAGGTTGACAGCAACTTTACAAGTATTTTCTTGGGCTTGAAGATACTGTAAAATAGAGGCACCTTGATATTAATATGTGCAAAAGAATGTGAAGACGTTTTTGCTGGGCTCCCCTCCCACCTACCCCCACCCCCACCCCCAGAATTTGTTTTGTAATATTGGTTGCTGGAAAGAGATACAGAGGAAACAGAATCAACTGACAATATAATGGGAAGAAATGTGAGCAGAGAATTTGGCGACGAGTTCTTGTTGAGGATCTACTGCATACAGTAGTGTGTTTTGGTAAAGCTGCTTAAACTTGTTGGACACTTGTGTCAATAAAAAGTAGAGATGGGAGGAACAGATGCCTCCATCTACTTAGAGTCTGAGCCTGAGTCTAACAGGGATAAAGACATCTAAGGACAGAAAGAGTAGTCTTGGAGTGCCTGCTCACCAACCGGGGTGAGGAGAAATCACCCTTTCAGCATTCATGTGTGGCCTTCAGAAGGCCTATGAGGTCTCTGAAGTTGAAGGATATTTTGTACAAATAGTTATTTGGTCATGGAAATGTGTACTGTAGAGTGAAAGAGCACATCCACTCTAACACCTGCTTATATACTTGGAGAGTCAGCAAATACCTATTGTTTTTGTAAAAAGTCTATAGTAGTTTGATGACATCGCTGCTCCCATGACATCACTAAGCATATGAACATTGAGGTGGCTGCAAAGTGGAGAGGTAAAGAAAACCTTTGCCTCGTCAAGGAATGGGGAGATTTTATGAGCCCCAGAAAGGACCCCAGGCCCCAAAAGGCTAAGAGACACCAACTCAGGGAGTCACTTTTTTAACAAACCAAACGTTAAGCAACTGCCTTCAAATTCCAATATTCAGGTTTCAGAGAAGTAAAAGCAACTCTATTGGACTTTACGCCAACATTTTCCTCCCTGGTTTTATGCCAACCAAAAAGGGGAGAATCCCTATAACACACAGCTTTCTGGCTCTCCATCTTACCCACAGAGGCCAGGGTGAGCCTGTAGCCTGTACGCTGTGGCTCTGTTTTGGACTCAAACGACCCTGTAAAGAAATCCTGCTCTGAGAAAACAGAACTACCCACTTCCCTCTGCTCCCTTCCAACCCGGACATGCTATTAAGTCGCCTGTAGAGTGCACCCAGAGCAGACGGGGAATTTGTCTCCTAGTGTCTCAGCATTGCAAAGCCACGTTCCAGCCAGAAAATCACGAACTCACCACTTTCTTGTGCTGGAAGAGGCCTTAGTGGTGAACACCATATGATGCCCTTGGGGATCGAGCTACAACCACATAAAAAATATCCACTTTGTATTCATTCCCAATTATTTTATGAAATCCGTATGCCTCCAGCTCTAGCTGACAAGTGCTAAATAACATTACTGGTCAAGGATTAAATAAGATTCTCTGGAGAGCTGTTCTCCTCCTCCCCACTGTGTGTTTTTTTTTTTTTTTTACACAATAACACTCAGAAATCAAATGTTTAATAAAGACAGATGTTATATCACTGGATCAAGGTTCAAGGATCAGCCCATGAATCATGTTTGTTTACTACTTGTGTATGAGGATCTTAAAATCGAAGTTTCCAGCAGGAAAAAAAAAACCACACAATAGATACAGAATTTCGAACAAAAGCACCAAATCATGTCGTGAAGATTTTCAAAACAAATGGCGTCAAGAATCTATAGACTCTCAGGTTCTCAGCTAGACAGGTCAAGGAATGGAGATGAAAAAAATTAGAGAAGAGCTATGTTAGGTGGAGTGTTATTTTGCCAAGCCCCTGTGACTTCTAGTCCTATCCTGGAGGAGAAGATACCTTGGAGAGAATTATTTCCCAAGGCTGAAAGATTTGCTCAACTTGCTCTTCAGCAAGCTGAAATGATCATGGGGCAGAGTCCAATATCTGCCAGATGGGATGGGGTTCTCTCCTGAGGTAGAACCCAGAGTACTACCACCTTGGGGTCCGCGTCAGTCCCAGGAGGGGGTGAATCCGTTTCTTGGAGCAACAAGAGCTCTGAGACACAACGTGAGCCAGTGTGGGACTGTCTTGGGTTCTGTGGAAAGGAACCAGCCTCCCAGGAGCTAATGGAGTCATAGTGACCATCAGAACAAAGAAATAAAAGAAGTATCCCGCAAGATCAACAGAATCATAGGAGTAAGAGAAACAGTAAGAAAACTCTAGACTCCTGGAAAGAGACATCTCAAGAGAAAAAGGCACCTGTTAGGTCAGAGCAAGACCAAACGAGAAGAACCAGTCCAAGTGAAAAAGCTTCACATGTCACCTCTTCCCATCCCACTGTGCCTGGTGGGGCGAAACAGCAGCTCTCAGGCTGGAAGGTGGAAGCCAGATGCATGAGGGGGAGAAGTGGATGGACCACGACAGCTTTCCTTACTGCAGACTTCTCTCCTGAGCCGGCTAAAACTTGATGAAGTGGGAGTAGAGGGAGCTAGGGAGGTTTAATAGCAAATGTAAGTTTTGAGTCACACAGGATAAGATTTTTTAGTTTTTGCAACTTAACAGCATTTGTGTGACTCAGTAACTAGAGGTCTTTTGTCACCTCAGAGTTAGGAGGAAATGATAGGCTGCTAGAATAGAAAAGATTGTCCCATAAATGAAATTGTGAAAGGTCTGTCAGAGGAACCCAGTTGCATTTTCCTGAACTGTGAGGTGTGTTTTTTCATTATGTTAGCAAAACCTTTATTCAAAAGACATGGGATCTCAATCTTTGGTGAACAAAATCATCTCCCTGGGAAAATTGATCAGTCCAATGAAGTAACTGCTTTCAGTAAGGCTACAAGAAAATGAAAAAATCTATTCTTTTTATTTTTCTGTCATATGAACATCATGTGCCTGGCACTTGAGTTCATTGACCTTGTTTGAAACAATTCTAAATTCTTTCCTAATATTACTCAAATTTCTGTCTTGTGTGTCACACCCTAAGGACCAGGCCAGATTTTTTTAGCATAAACAGAGCCTGCAAGGAAGGCTTTTTAAATTCTTTGTTCACTCTTTCCACACCTGCACACATTGATTAATTTTGACTGTGCTGTTCTCAACTTAAATTTTTCCTAAATAAGATCCTAATTTTTTCCAGTCATTTCACAAGTCACTCCCTGCTCTCAATTTTTACATTTTCATTTTTCTAGTACCTCCAATTTTTTTCTTATCCCTTTTTAAAGGAAATGGCATGATTAGAAGAGCAACAATTATTCCTAAAGGACACTTTGCACAAGAATGGAATCATATATGATCCTTGTTATTTCAAAAGTGGGAGGGACCTTCAACCGTGTCATCACCTAAATCTTAACCTTAAGAGTTTAATGCAACAGAATAGACACCTAGTAAATGACAGGGATGGTCCTAGAACCAGGTCCCCCCATTTCCCAGCCTTGGGGGCCTTTCAAGTATACCACCTGCCTTGTAATATATAATCTATATTAAAAGCACACTAAAAATGAAAATGTATGAGGATTCACTTTATAATTAATAGTATTACCAACATAGAGATGAAGGGACTTCTGATCACCACTATGAGGTGGTAATATGAGTTAGAATTAGCCTTCTATTGAAAACAACCAAAAACATGGAAAAAAAAAGAAACAACTATTTTCAGAACTAAATAGGAAGTACAGAATTGTGATTCCCAAAAAAGAGAAACAAAGAAGGTGACCCCTACAATCACTCAGTCTTTCTACCTA